CTTTCCCAGCACGTCCCTGGGTAGCAGCCTGACTGGCGCATGGCAAAGGGCAGCACTGCCATGGCTGGAAACAGTCGACTGGTCAGCAGCAGAATGGACACGCACCAGGGGACTCACCAGCGGATAGAAATGAACAAGACCAGCACCTATCACCTCGAATAACTATCACCGACAATGTGGGGTGAGAAAAGGAGAACAAGTTATTTATATAAAGCTAAAAAAAAAATGAAAAAGCTGTACATTGTTTAGGGACACACATTATGGCAGGATATCAGGATAGGTAAAGGAGGGAGGGATCCCAAATTCAGGTGAGGTGACCCTGGGGTAAGTTTGGGGGGGCGGGGTGTTGGGAAGGAGTTTAGGAAGGCCTCAATGATACATGTAATGTCTTTTTCAAATTTTTATATATTGATCCTTGAGAGAGAGAGAAACATCGATTTGTTTTTTGTTTTTTTAAAAATATATTTTATTGATTTTTGACAGAGAGGAAGGGAGAGTGATAGAGAGTTAGAAACATCGATGAGAGAGAAACATCGATCAGCTGCCTCCTGCACACCTCCTACTGGGGATGTGCCGCAACCAAGGTACATGCCCTTGACCGGAATGGAACCTGGGACCCTTCAGTCCGCAGGCTGACGCTCTATCCACTGAGCCAAACCGGCTAGGGCAGAAACATCGATTTGTTGTTCCACTTAGTTATGCATCATTGGTTGATTTATTTTATTTATTATTTTGACTGATTCCTGTATGTGCCCTGATGGGGATTGAACTCACAACCTTGGCGTAGGGGGGACGATGTTCTAACTAACTGAGTTGCCTGGTCAGGGCCATGAGGCCTTATTCTTAGGCAGTGCTGGGTACACAGTGTTTGGTATCTGACTCTCTTAAGTGTTTGCATATCTGAATGGTTTCCTAAGAAGAAGGGAGACCAGGGCCCAGGTAGGGAACGGTTGGGGGCGGGAGGGGAGGGCAGCTCTAGGAGATGGAGTCACTGGTCTTTCTGGGCCAAGTGGTGTTGCAAATGGCACTCCAGGACTTAGGAGCAGTCTGTGCCGGGGCGCGGAGGTGGGAACGGTGAGGCAGGTGTGGTCTCGCCGGAGTGGCAGGGCCGATGGAGGGAGGTGGTAGCATGAGCTGTTGGGCTGTGAGGACAGGTGGCCTGGCTCCGAGGCGTGGGGGGACCCTGGCCGCGCGTTGGTGGCTGGGAGGGGCGTTCTGCGAGGCACTAAGCAGCTTCCCATGTGTGTTTCTTGGACCAGCAAGAGGATGTGGCTTTGCTCCCACCAGCCAGTGAGCCACTGCAGCGGGCCTGCGGGGCTGGGCTGGGATTTCAGCACATTGGGGTGATCTGGAGAGAGTCCCTGCAGATGGAAGCCGGGGTGGGGGGTGGGGGGGGGTGGCAGAAAGAGCTTTTCTCTTGAGGACTGTGGTGGGAGGAAGGTAGATTCAGTGGTAAGAGAGAGAGTTTTCCCGAATTGCTGGGGGGACATCTGGGTGCTTGTAGGGGCACGGGGAGGGAACAGCCCTGGTGACTCGGTGCCCTCAGCAGCTCTGAGGCGGGTCCAGAGCAAGTCGCTTACTGA